AACCCATCCTCTGACGATTTTGAAAGAATCGTAAGTGAGGAAAAACCAGAGCCAAAGTGATTGAGCATCACTGAAAAGATTGATCTGTGTGATCTGACGTCTATTAGCTTTGAAGACTGTCTTCCAAATAATTAGGTGTCAAGTTCTGAGCACACCAAGGGTCATTGTGGTGTGCCGGTGAACAAGTCTGTGAAGGTTTTGAAAGTCTACCTTGAAGTCTTACCACGAGTGATTGGGCGAGGTCTGCGGGCCTTAGCTCAAGAGGAATATGGTGAGGACTGTGTGTCCTCTGAGTTGCGACTCAGCCACCTCAACCAAACGTACAGTTGATGCAACAACTGGAACAAGTCTACAAAATTCCATTGTCTTCACCGAGCCAACCCGGTTACAGATTCCTCAACCCTCTCTTACATTATTTCGCTGCTGAAAAATTTGTGATCTATGCTATGACGAATTTGAACTAAAGAATTTCATCACGTTATCTTGCATTTCCTTAGTTCATATTCTTCATGCGTGTATGATTGTATGATTGCATGTTCTTCACTTTTACATATCATGTTTGCATGTATTCTTATTCTGTGATGACTTAGTTTTCGTTGCGTTTCTACTTCTTCGACAGGGTCAAATGCTGGGCGATGGGATGCGGCAGCAGAGGAAAAGGATGTGAAATGAGCGGCGGTAGGTGTCAGGCGCGTGGGAGGACGAGGGGAAAGCTTGAGCAATAAGTGGGCCCGATAAAACACGTGGCTTGTGTAGGGGAGAGAGCTGCACGAGCGAGCGAGACCGAAGCTTTGGCCGACCGACCGGAAGGAATCATTAGCCTAATATAAATAGTCACAGCTCACAAACAAGATGCATGGTTTTCGGAGGAAAGTCGATGCATGAAGTTCTTACAACAAGTTGGGCCGGCTTCAATAATTGTAAGATAAACTAATCACTGGCATAGCTTAAAGCCAAAACGTGAAAGGTCAAGGGTCCCTTGACAGTTGTTAAAGTGGAAGAGAGCTTGACTCTTCCCTTCACAGTGCTCTATTAAAGCGAGATCTGGGAAGATAATATTAACCCTTAACTAGTAGGAGTATATCAAATCAACAACATGTGCATTCTTCCTGAACCCCTTTCCATCTTACTGTCGGTGCTCTACTCTCCGAACCAAAGCGGACAACATTGCACATGCACCAGTATACATGCTGTCAAACTGATTGCTCTATACATACATTACATATACGGCCATAATTTACACTGCAGCATTACAAACGCGCCTTAAACCTGACGAAATGTCTAACAAATTTCAAGAAACTCTATAATTCCTTCTTCTCCCTTGGCGATGCTCTAGTTGAGCCCGAAGAACTCGGTCACGGAGAGCAGGTCGCAGAACCCGCCGCCCGCCTGCATCTGATCCATGCTGTCCAACTGCTCCAGAAACTCCCAGCAGGTGCCGCTGTCGCCGAAGCCGCCGTGCAGGGGATCCTCCACGCCGGGTGGCCCATCGACCTGCGCGGACCCCTGGCTCATCACCTGACGATGATCGCCGCCTCCTGCACCAACCACCCCCGCGGCTTCCGGGCCAGGTGCCGCCGCCGCCACCTGGCCACCGATGTAGTCCATGTTGAGCCAATCTGCGAACATCACCTTGGGAGCCACGGGCGCGTGGGCCCTGCAGGCCGGAGGCTCGGTCACGGTCAGACAGCTCGAGTCGGCCGACGACGACTCGTGCGGCGGCTCCGATGAGCCGGAGTTCGACGGCCGGCCGGCCCGTTCCTGCGCCGCACCGACTTCCCCTGTGCTCTGGCTCTGGGACCCGTCCGACTCCGCGGCTGAGCTCGCCGCGTGCCGGTTGGGCGAGTTGGGGGCCTCCTTGCCACCCTCGACCCTCTTCTTGAGGTACGAGTTCCAGTAGTTCTTCACTTCGTTGTCGGTCCTGCCCGGTAAATGCCGTGCGATCCTCGACCACCTGCGGTACAAGTTTCGCGTCAATAATTAAGCCAGCGGGCCCGAGTTACTTGCGGTTCACTTAACTTTGGTTTTGGTTTCTGTCGGTCGGCGGGGTTCACTTAGTGGGAAAATGATTTCAGCTTTTGCATTGCCAACTTGACGTTTCTTTCGTCCTTTATTAAGTTTCTCGTTCTTTTCTCCTTTTGTGGCTCGGGTATTACTATAAACAAAACAAAATGTGTCACTTGGGTGAGAGGGACGAGCGTGGTGTACGTAGTCTATTCATTCATGTGGACCACCGATCATCCTTGGATATTTTTCGGGGGACATAATTGCAAGGCCCAATAAAGAATCTAATCTCCTCGCGAGACCACACTACGTGCCAGTTGGGATTGTCAAGGCAGCTGTTTCCATTAACTCGCAAGTGAGCGCGGATTGGTCCAAATAGTCGACGCCATGTTCTCGCCGCTCTACTGTACAGCTAAAATCAACAGGGCCGGCGGTGTTCTCTGCAGCAACTGCCAGAGGATATACCAGAGAGAAACTCAGAATGTTTTTTCCTTTCCAAGATAGATAGATAATGATTTTGGGCAAACTTGCGCTAGGACGCAACTGTACTGTATGCCATTTAGCGTCCGTCCGTCCAAGCCCACAATATTTTATACTAACAAGCTAATAATCGGAGCGAAAAGCAGTTGCAATCATCACAATGTGCACCCAGCAGACAGAGGGAAAAATCTCGTGGATTTGGAGCGTCCATGGAGCGTGAGCGTCAGCATCAACTCCACTACGGAAAAGGTCTGGGTGGCTACCATCACCGGTCGCCCTTTTCCGTTCCCTCTTTTCTTTCCTTCCTTCATTCACTCGAATTAACGTGTTCTAGAACGGGATTGCCGCCAGCTCAGCGCCGCCGAGCATGGACAATTACACTGGTACCTTTCACCTCCAAACGGTGGGCTACAGTAGGAGTGCTACCTGCCTAGTGTGTGCGGGGGGAAACCTAAAAGGAAAACATGGCAGCGGCATCTAGACAGACAACGTGGAGAAGTGTCTTTCGATCGATCGTCTCAATCATTTGCGTACAGTACAGTACAGAGAGTAAGTAAGTAAATAGTGTGTGCTGGGCTGCTTACTTGTTGCCGAGGGCGGCGTGGAGGCTCATCACCGTCTCCTCCTCCTCCGGCGAGAACATGCCGTGCTTCAGCCCCGGCCGCAGGTAGTTGATCCACCGCAGCCTGCAGCTCTTGCCGTTCCGCTGGAGTCCTGTGCGGAGAATTTCGGTCATGGTCAGAACCAGCCAGCCAATGTGCATTTCTCTTTTCGGACAGATAAAACTAACTACTGCCACGAACAAATCGAGGCCAATTCGGACGAGCTGGCCGGAGACAGAACGAAATTCAGCCGAGGGGCGCCGATTACCGGTGCCGGAGCACCCGATCATCGACCCAACGCACCGAATTCTCCTCAATTATGCCCCTTTTCGTGCTCGTAGAAATGCGGATACGAGAGCGGTGGTCGGCCTTACCGGCTTTGGCGGGAAGCGCGCTCCAGCAGCCGTGGCCGTGCCGGAGAATGTAATCGCGGAGCTTCTGGTCCTCCTCCGGCGACCACAGCCCCTTCCGGTAGCTCGGTCTGGGCTTGTCGCACGCCTTACACCCCATTGCTTGCTTGCAGGCGGACGACCGACGCGGCACGAAACCTCGGAGAGGTGTACAGGACGCAGCAGCGGTGGCAGAGGCTTCGGGTTCAAGCCTTGGTTGGGATGGAGGAGCGTTCTGGCGTTTCCAGAGGGGAGCAGTAGGTGGGAGTTTTATAGCCATGGAAAGGGGGTGTTTTGTGTCGTTTGGGAAATAAAAAATTAGTACGTGTTATCATCACCACTAGCTCAATTTTGCGATTACTGGTATTAATGTACTGATGTTATATTAGAAAGAAAAAACTGTAAACAATAGGAATCATACTATATCATAATCTAGTGCAATTGCCGCCCGAGAAAAAATATTGTGATATAATGACTTAAGGGCGGCTAATGCCTTCTACTCCGAAAAATCACGGTTTACATTTGTTACGAACATTATTGAAATATTAAATAGATGAGCGTGAGAGAGTGAGGTTTTAAAGAACGCCAAGAGACCACGAAGCGTGATAATTAATCAAAATCAAGGCCAGCTGCGATCGGCAATGAAGTGGAAAATAAGTAAGGTGAGAGTACAAGTAGTGGAGAAAACCGGCAAATCGTCTGCGACGACGTGACAGCTTTTCAAAAACCCATTGCTTTTGTCTGGTGTATGTTTTTCAAACTGTTATGGAGGACACGCCTCATCAGGTCGTAATTGGCAAATACCAAACGGTAACATCCGCGCCAGCAAAAAGACATCAGTAAGACGTATTTGATGTACTTGGATTGATTAGTATCGCTTTTGGATTTCCCCCTTGCTTGGTTCTAAAGTGCAGCAAGGGTCTAGAAAGCAAAACTATTTATGACTGGCCCTTTTCCTTTGAAGCAGAAAGAGAGTGACTTGCTTGTAATAGAAGCCAAGAATGAAGGAGCGGGGCAGAGCAGAGCAGAGCAGGCACTATCTATGAGCATTCAACACAGACGCGCAGAAAGTCCCAAAAGAAGAAACAAGCTGCAGCCCCTGCTATATACAATCAACGCTCCATGATGAGAGTTGAAAGTGTCAAACTTGACTGTTGGTCTCGGAATGGAACCATCATATTGCCTGTCCGTCGGCCAGAAGATCCCAGCGTGTCATCGCCCAATTTAGCGCCCCTCCATCAACAAAGCGTGTCCGGAAATTCGTACTGCACCGACTGGATCCCTCGTCCATGTGTAGGTTGGCTAGCTTAACCGACGAGACGACGCAGCAATAGCATGCACGGCCGCGTGCGTGCGCGCGTCGGTCCGTCCCGTCCGTGCCCGCGCGCGCGCACCGCATGCACCGGCACCGCAAAAGGCGAAAGCGTCGGGGGCTTCCAGCGTTTTCCACGCGCCCTCGCCGCATGCGGCGCTCCTCCGGGGCACCGACGACGCGGCCGCGGGCGGTCAGTGGGAACGGACGTCGTCAGATGGCTGGCATATATGCAACCGGTGGCCTTGTCATTTGATCCCTGCGTGCGTGCGTGCGTGGGTGTATACGCATGCGTGTTTGACGTCCCGGTTTGTCCGTAGCTAGCCCCGGAGCAGAGGTGGTGCCTGGCTGTCAGGGAAAGGTTATCTCCTCGATCGATCGGCGGCCAGCGGCATATGCATATCTCGGGGGAAATCGGCGCGCGGCGTACGTGGCCATCGCCTCGCCCGTCGTCGGGCATGGGGGCTGCCCAGCCCAGCTGGTCGAACAGGGACGAGAAATTCGACCCGGCAGACGTGCATGCATGCAGTATACTACTAGTCACGAGACCAGTTCTTATCAATGGTTAACAATCGGTGACTAACTTGTCTTAGTCTCCCAACAGAGGCGCTAACAGTCGATGTCTACGTATGGAATGGTTAACTGGGGTGACGGACGTATGTGCATGTGGCTGGGCCTCACCAAACTCGAAATTAATTAGACGGGCGGTTTAGGGGGGCTGCACTAAGCTGCATGCCTCGTGTCATCGTGTGCGTTGCGACGTGACCATGCACGTCTAGGCACGAGGCGGAAGAAAGCTTCAGATGATTGATTCCAACGGGTGTAGTCACAATTTTATAAACCGTGCATGCGGCACGACAGGGAAAATGAGAAGCCGTGCCATGACGATGATGTAGTGTGCACTGTCATGGTAGCGTGGTCCCGCCATGCATTAGCTTTTTCGCCTTTGATGGAACCCCTTGATAACGCCCTTCTCATTTTCTTTTCTCCATACCGCACTCCAAGGAAGATTCTTGTGGATATTGCATTGTGAGGTAAGGGCATCTCCAACATCAACCCGTAAATTTTCTTTCTTATCAGTCCGCCGACAAGTGAAAACGGCCATCGAACGATGTCCGCATACATCTCAAGCATGGTTTCAACTAAACAGACCAAATTCATTCAAACTCAAAGTTCAGATGAAAAATAGCACAAATCTAGCATGCAAATAAGTATAGTACAACAATGTTTCAAATTCGACGAGATTAACGGATGTCCAACAAGTTTTTCATGAACGAATCATGTCGTTCTACACATACTGCTCATTCAGCTTCATCCAACAGCGTGTGTACGCAAATGATCGTCTCTCTGTCCTGTGGTATATCACGGCAGCACGTACATGCTAGACAAGGTGTAGAGCAACATTGAGTGAATGAATGATTTAAACAAGTTGAGCAAGAACAAACAGAACTTATGATCTCCACTGCCACGCACAATGGCCCCTTGCTTTCAGCTGACCAACCACGTGAAAAAATTTGGTGACGGTGGTCTGGATGGCGTACCGGCGACACGATAAAGAGATGTGCATGTCGTAGGGCGCAATGTGCATTCACGCGTGAAACCATTCATGCACTTGCTGCTAGAAGGTCCCTCTTCTGCTCCTGCCTACGAAATCCACGGATACAGCCAACCACGCATCGCACAACAGCTCATCCTCCATGGTCGAGTACCCCTCCATCTTTCATACTCTGAAAAAACACATGACATCTGAAATTAAGCTAAATGGCATTTGACCTAACACTTGTTGGGCATGGTGTCCTCCATGGAGATTGTCGACAGGGGGCAGAGTGTACCTGTGTACAAACGGCTCCAGGATGGACAACAGTGTCATAAAAGACGAGCCCGTCGGTGCCGGTTGCAGACGTCCGCAATGCCTCTATGGCGGCCGGAGAGGTACATCGGCGACGGCGAAAGTGGAGGGTGCAGATGCAAAGCAAGGGGGAGAAGGGGCGAATTGGAAGCAAATGGGATCGGAAGGGGGGATGTAGTGGCATTAGATGTCGGAGTCCTACATGGCTGCTGTCCGGACTCCCGCAACTCCCCTTCCGCCACTTTGTCTCCACTTCGCGGGAGAAAGTGCATCCAAACCGTCGAGCGGACCAATACAAATCCGCGTTGGATAGCACAACATGTCCGGACTGCATGGTCCAAACGTATGCGGACAGTTTGAGGGTCCGTATTCGAGATGCCCAAAGACCAACTCTACGAGAGTTGCCATAGACCCAATCGAAACTGCTTCATGCACGATCCTTGTGCCTGATGGATGCACGACAATGAAATCTAGTAGTCGTTACCCAATGTATGCATGCATGTCCGGCCTCGAATGCTATCTGAAGGCTATAGAGGCGAAGCACAAACACAGAGTTTTTTTAAAGACCCAGCTTGGAATGTTGGCTTTTCATGTTGATCATAGCAGGGAGCAGGTGGAGAAAAACAATGAGATGGAGTTGATCCGCAGATCAAAAAGGATAAAAGAAAAAGAGGAGACTAGGGCTACAAAATGGAGCTAATAAAACAAATCAGCCTATTCCTTATGGAGGTAGAGTGAACGGGTGCATTAGGCAGGATGCCCCGGCTTGGCGCCAGAGCTCGATACCTGTCTTGATCGCTTGTAGCACCACCCTCGCCGAGGATTCCTTTCCTCTAAAAGTGCAGCTGTTGCGGTGCAACCAGATCTCCCACAGAGCCAATATCGCCACTGATTTGAGGCCCTTCCTGAACTCTGGCTTTGTGTTCACCACAATCTTCGACACCCGATCAGTCGCGGCAACGGCGTCGCTTCCAGGCTGCGGCCTCGGAGCCTCACAACCCACCCATCTCGACAAGCTGTTCCAGATCATTGCTGTGAACGGGCATGGCCAGAAAATGTGGTCAACAGTCTCGAGGCTTCTGAGATAGAATTGGCAGAAGTAGGAGTTGGGCCATCCCCGTCGCTGCAATCGGTCATTGCACCTTTGCCTATTCAGCATCATAAGCCAGTATAAAACCTTCAGCTTCCCTGGCGCCCATGTCTACTGTATGAGCTGTGGGAAAACGGAGCCGTGGTTTGTTTGAAACTGAGCTCGATATACGGACGAGGCCGTGTAGCAGCCGCTGGCCTCCAAGTTCCATCTGATTTCGTCGGCGGCTTCTGGATTGAGGGTGATCGAAGCAGTTCGCAGCAGCCTTGCCAACCGTACACAGTCTTGCACCACCAGCTCAGTCTGTCCATGCGCCAGGTCCAGGATCCAGCGATCCTCATGCAGGGCGTCGGCCATAGTCCTATTTTTCCTCCATGAGTGCTGGTAAAGAGTTGGAAACAACACCTTGAGCGTGCCCATTGGCAGCCAGGAGCAGGACCAGAAACTAGCTGTCCGGCCATTGCCAATTCTGACTGATGTTGCCGCGCTGAAGAACGCCTTGTCCGCGTCCGAGCACGACACTTCCATGCTCGCCCATGGCCTCTCCGGGTGTTTCCATGTCAACCACAGCCACCTTTGGCGGAGAGCTCTGCCGAAGCGCTCGAGATCGAGGACCACGAGCCCACCCTTGTCCAGCGGAGAGCACACCTTGGACCAACTCACCTTACACTTGCCCCCGGACAACTCCTCCTCTTGTGCCCAGAGAAAACGCCGCCTCACTTTGTCAATCTCCTTGAAGAATTTTTTCGGCATACGGAGCACGGTCATAGCGAAAGTAGGGATTGCACTTAAGACTGCTCGAACTAGAACCTGCCTACCCGCAATAGTCATGAGCTTGCCTTTCCAACCTGCTAGCCTTGCTCTGATCCG